GGTTTGGCTAGGGGAAAGGGGCGGCGGCAAGGATCCAAGGAGAGGAAGAAGTATGGAAAATATAAGGATTCAAGGAGTGAATTCCAATTTTCCACAAGTGCTTCAATCCGAATCTCCACGATGATGAATTGACCAAGAGAAATAAAGTAAAATAGTAGAACGAGAAAAACCTAGAACTCACAAAGAGATCTAGCTTCTCCTACGAACTCACTAAGAGATCGTAGAGGTTTGCACTCACAAAGAGAACACAAAGCAAATATTTTTCATTCATCAAAACTAACTATTACATGAGAAAAGGGCCTTATAAATAGGCCTCAAAATGAAAAAGAAGCAAAAGACTAAAATGCCCCTTGGGCTACAATAGCTACCAAATACCCATGAGGGCAAAAACCGAAAAACATAAAATAAAAATAAACTACTACATAAAATGATGAAAATACAGATCATGATCGTGGTCGTCTCCGGCATCTCCTGAAGGTACATGTGTCGAAATCGCTGCTGATGTCCCCATCATTGGTAGTATTTTTTTTATTTTGAATCACAAATTGTTCAAGTTAAGCAACTCAATATAGATGATATAAAAAGATTATTGAGTGACATATTTGCTCCAATTAATGACTTGATTAACTTAGCAAATCATAAGCAAAATCTTACTCAAGATTCAACTAATGATGATGAAAAACTCTCAAGTTATTAGAAAATGTGGGAGAAGAGTTATATCTTGGATATAAGACATTTTTAAAGCTATCGTTCATATTACATTTATTTTGTTTGAAATGTCTAAAGTCTAAACCTTTGGACTACCAAATCTTTCAATATGTTAATTAAGTTATTGATTGACATTTTCCTTATTGGGACTTCATTGCCTAGAATCATGTATAAGGTTAGAAAATTAATGCATGCTTTTGATCTAATTATATGAAGATACACACATTTCTTAACGATTGTATGCTATTTTGTGGAGCTAAGTTTGTTCAGAGTGTATGTGAAGCCTATTTTGAGCATCTAAATGGGTGCTTCTAATTAGAAGATTAACTCGTTGCACAAGAAAAAAATAAACTCTAATGAAGGTTGTAAAAATTGTTTGATATTTTCTCTTGATTATAAGACCTATAAGATTATTTAAAACAAAAACAAATTGCAAAAGAGATGATTTGGCATACTATGTAATTAAATAGAGATGATATATTACGACGAACAACTGGCGGAGAATCGATTTCCATTATTCTAATTTCACTTCAGATCTATGTAATGCTCATTTAGTCTTAGCAGCTAATAACTTTAATCCTTTCATGATTATATGTAGTACATACAGGATTTGACAGTGCTTTTGGTCTCATATAATATACTTATGTGGAGTGGAATGAAGCAATCGTCTTTTATTTTGTCAAATAATTATATATGGTGAGACAAGTACATGAAATAACATTGAGATTTATCTCAAACCTCTGATTCATGAACTACAACATTTATGATTTCTCAAATTAATTTGTGCAAAGGTGTCAATCCAAATGAGTTAAAGAAATTACAAAAAGAAATTGTTTTTTACTTTGTGTCACTTGGAGAGAATCTTCCTCCCATCATTCTTCACTATCATCTTCCACTTGCTTATTTACTTAGTTGAAGAAGTTAAACTTGGTGGTCCAATACATTATAGATGGATATACTCTTTCGAGAGGTAATACTTCATTATATAAATGTGCTACAATTTTGAAGATTATGTTCAAACACATTTAATACTTTTTTTTTCAAAACTTTCTTAATATTAATGTATTTTTTTTTTTTTTTGCATTAAGTCATATCATGAAGACTTAATTGTTGAGGGGTACATTGCTGAAGAAGGAATTTTATTTTATTCAAAATACCATGATGGGTCGGAAATGCTATTTAAGCCACCATCTACTAGATGTTTATAAATGATGGTGGTGTTCATTATAAGTTCTTGATGTTGGAATATCTTTGGATAAGGTGACAGTGTGCGTGTTAGATAACACCCTTAGTGCTAGTTTACAGATATGTGCTCTGATATTGCGATAATATTGCAGCATATAGTGAGCTGTATAAAGAGGGGGAGGGAAAAAGAAGGAAGCGCGAAATGCCCATTAAGCACTTATAAATTAAGAAACTTTTGAATGAACATTTTCATGATTGTTTCCGATAAATAGCATGTTATCAACAATTTTGATTATTTAATTCATGCCTATTACAATGTTTTCTTTAATTTCCTAGGATTGCATCAAGTTGTGATTCATCAATTTCAGAAGAAACTAGAGCCCTAATAGTTGGTCCTAAGCGGTTTGCATGAAGTCTTAAAAAGTATTTTATATTAATGAGTATAACTTTCATATTAAAGACCATGATGATAATAAAAAAGATATAAATTTATGGTGTTGTTAAGATAACAGATGTTTAAAATTTTCATTACTAAGGTCGAGTAAATGACATTGTTGGGATCAATTACTCTGAATTATTTTATGTCATCTTATTTAAGTGTGATTGTATAAACACAACTATAACTAGCACAAAAGTAGATTATTATGACAATACCTCAGTAAATTTTTGTGCATCTTATACGAACTGGTAAAAATTTAGAACATGATCCTTTTTTTTTTTTTCTTTTCAAGTTGAGCCCCTTTGTTTTCTTTGGATATACTAAAAAGAAGAATTTAGAACTTCTTCATAGGAATCAAGCTAAAAGATGTGTTTGATTCAAGTATCTCTCATGACACCTAATAGATATAAATTTATGTAAGTAATATGTTTGTTTTATTTTAATTATGCACAATTTTACTTTTTCACATGATATTTAATTCTCTAACTATTTTCTTATTAACATACTTGTTGATTAACATGTATGGCAGGTGTTGGCTTACATGCAAATAAGGTTATATGTTGTGGATCCTCCAGTAGGGGGGAGAGTAGTGGATCATCTAATGACCCCTCCACTCCAATGCATCTAGACTCCATTGAGGACTCTCAGTTTATTGAGAGCCAACAACCCTCGAGGCAATCATTTCAAGAATTTCCTAGACAAGCGCCACCACCAAATGATGGCATAAGGCTCATAGGTTTTTTGGACTTTAATATTTATAATTTTATGTACCTTTTTAACATTTATATTTTACACTTATGGATTGTTTGCTCAGATGAACAAGGCACGCCAATAAGGCGTAGAGGTCAAACCACTTGTACAGACATAAAGTGTATGCCGCTAGGTACTAGGGTTCATATTGAGGTTAATGAGAATGGTGTGCCATGCAATATACCAGAGTCCATTCTTCTTGGCTCATACATGGGAGTTGTAGCCAGAGACTCTATATTGGCACCAATATCTTTCTCAGATTGGCGCAATAAGGGCATGGAGCCTTTCAAGAAGAGAATGTTAGCTGAAGTTGAGGTAATTATTATAGTAAATGGATACATGCTATTTATTAATGTTTAGTAGCTTTCAATATTTCATGTTTTTCAGTCCAAATTTGAGTTTCATGCAAGTATAAGACATTGGATTTTGCAATCTATTGGCGTCAAATGGCGTAACTATAAGGCTAGCTTGAAGTCAGAGCATTGGGATAGTAGACCCATTAAGGAGATCAAGGAGACCGTACCTGGAGGAGTTGATCCAACACAATGGTGTCAGCTAGTTAATCAGTGGGCCCAACCAGAGGACCAGGCTAGCACCAAACTTATTAATATTTATGAGGCTTTCGTGAAATTTTTAATCAGACTAAAATGTTAATAATTAATTACAGAAAAGGGCGGCAAGAAATGTAAAAAATGCTAAAAAACAGACATGTCCTCACACGATGGGTCGAGTGAGTTCTGTTAGGAGGCAGCAAGAGACGGTATGCTTTTCATTTTCTTATATTACAAATTTTAAACAAAAGAAACTAATAATTATACTTTATATAGTCTATACAAGATCGTTTGCAATTATGGAGAATAAATCGGATGCGTAAAGATGGTTTGTGGTCATCTGAGGATGCCAAACTAAGATGGGTAATATTAGCTAATTTTGTAAGCAATGCTAACACCAAGGATGATTGCATTGAACTCTAATTATATTTATTTAAATTTAGGCCCATGCTTGTAAAATGCTTGCAGAGGAAGGGTTAAGGCCAGAAGATGGAAATTTGGAGGCTAATGAGAGAGTGTTCAAAGCAGTTATGGGGCCTGAATATCCAGGCAGAGTTAGAACACAAGGGTTTGGGGTCACTCCAACTCGATACTTTCCTCAAAGCACCACTCGTCCAGGATACAATAGCAGTAGTAGCACTTTTGCTCGTGTTGCAAGACTTGAGGAGCAGCTGCAGACGCTAAAAAAAGAGATGAGACAAGTCATGCAACATTGTCAGGGACATCATCCTCCTTCAAGAAGCTCAGATATGGTTTGTGAAATTACAATATAGATATTTTCATTTACATGTTTATTTATTTATTGTTATTTATAAATGAGTTCTCTATCATTATCAGGGGGGCAATGATCAGTCATTACCTGAATGACATTAGAAGAGAAAGAGAAGGATAGGAGGATTAGATATAAAAGTTTAGGGTGTAATCTTTTGGAGTTAACATTTGAACAAGTTATACGTCTTATAATTGGCAATCATGTGTTTTGTAATTTGAACCATTTTGATTATGTTATTAATTGCTAATGTTTCATGTTTTTGGTGATAATATTCTCTTGATTGCTCTTTTTTACTATTTTCTTCTCTTATGTGTGCTTCTTATTAAATAAGTATCAATAAAGACATCATTGTTGGTTGTTTCTTTCTTCTTTCTCTATTGAAATGCTTGCCGTTGTTGATTTCGCTTGTTTAGAATTTGATTCTTAATATGACACATTGAAAAAAAAAGATTCATATAACTGATCTCATGTTGTGGGATAAAGAGTTATTATTGAATTACTTGATATATTTTGATATTTATGTTGGCAAATCATATTGAATGATTTTGCATGCGACTATTTGCCTAACACACTAAACCGGTATGGAAGCTTAAGCTTCGTCTGAGACAGCTTTCTTATAATTTGTATACTAAAAAGCTTATTTAAGAAACAGTAAGAAAGTCGTCTGAAACGAAGTCTAAAGCTTCGTTTGGGATAACTTTCTTTCTGCTTCTTAAAGCAGCTTTTTAGTATAATTTTTTTTTAACTTTGTACTAGAAAACTGCTTTAAAAAGCAGAAAGAAAGCCGTCCCAAACATAGCCTAAGTTTCCAGTGATGGTGGACGAGATTTCTTCTGCTCATCTCCTTTGCATGCAAACATTGAAATATTGATAGCAATGCTGGGGAGCCCGGGCTAGCTCATTTGGGTAAAAAAAACTAGAGTTAAAGTCAAATTTAGTATAATCTAAGCTATGCAGAGCTCTCTTTTATTATCATATTTGATGATAGCATACTTGATGATACTTCTCTTCTTGTGTGGTATAACACATTATAGCCCATTTAGATGCAAGTACGTACCTATTGTGATGTCATATCACTAATCTATCTTTTTTTTTCCATCAAGTGTGACCTAACAAATTTAAATAATCAAATGATGTTGCCTTTAATCTTTAGGGATAAGATTAAGTAATGTAGAGAGAGAGAAGGATTGTAATCTTATTGTAAAATGAGAGAGAAAGGTGGAGAACGGTTGAGTGGAGAAATTTATGTTAAAAAAATATTTTTGTAGTGCCTAGCGCTGTGACACTCCAACGCGACGCCTCATGCTCATTCCATAGTTATTGAAGCTGCGTCGAATTCTAGCAACCCAGCGTTGCAGCCCCAGTAAATAATTAAATCATTACTAATACAATCAAATATATCATTCTCAATTCTAATAGAGTATAAATGGGACTATGTCATCAAGTAAACCGAATAGGTCTTATATGATTTGAAGTGCATGTATAAACTCACATGCACCATCACTTAACTAGACAAAACCTCAATGATCATCTCTTAAATAACTTGGGTGGATGGCTCTTGATCACGCAATCAATCGCCCATGCACCTCAAAGGTAACTACACAAACGAACTCACTAATCAACACAACTATCGATTGACCTCTCTATAAAAAGTTGAAATATTTCAAGTAACTCATATCAAGATAACTTACCCAAATGCTAGAAAGTTAAATATCATAGGAGATGATAAAGGAAAAAAATAATAATAATAAAAAGGATATGATAAAGTATATGGGGGAAGGGGGAGGGATAGCTTAATGCTTAGGATTTTAGGATTTAATACATGTAAAAGCACTTTTAGTGACCTAGCGCTACAGCACTCAGACCCAGCGCCGTAGCGCTACGTGTTAAATTCGGAATAATTGTAGAATAGAGACTAAAACGCCGCAACGATGATTTTTTTGCATCTTCGTGCTTTCAAGCACAGCACCGCAACACTACAAAGCTTAGCGTCGAATCGCTCTAATTCAAACAAAAATTCAAAATTTTCATATTTTTTTCATTTTAAAATACTCTTCATATATTTGAGTTGTTACATAACCTTTCAAGGGAACACAATAAATCAAAAGATTATGCATGCTACCCTTTGATCATCATAAAAAAAGAGTACCTTTTTTGAACCACTAGTCACGCGCCACTTAATTAATGCTTCTTTGGAGACTGGAAAAGCAAGAACAGAAGGGCACTCTCTACTTTAAAAAATGCATTTTAGGATTATGATTAAGAATATGAATATCTATATAATAAAATATATAATATCATTAACCCTCAAAGCATGAATGTATATATCATTGTTCTGAAATTTCACTTTTGATAGAAGACACATGCATATTATAATCACCACAAACCAAGAAGGTAATATGAAGAAGGGAAGTTTGTTAGGTCCAAAATTGAAATATCACATAATTGTTTTATTTTTTTATTCTATTTGTAAGAAAAAAAAAAATTGATCCAAAATTAACTTTCAGATTTTTTTTTTTTTACTTTGGATATTAATTATCATAGAGTGATAGAAAGTTAAATTTATTTATATATATCACAAGATTAATATTTTTAAAAAATATTATTTCTTTTAGGTTTTATGTCAAACCAACTATTCCACAACATTTGTAGATTGGAGAAATTATTTTACACGGAGTCCGAACATAGCTCTGGGTCCCGACTCTAATGAAATCATGACACCTCGATATTCAAATGGATTTCTTTTTTGTTTTTTGTTTTTTTTTTCTCTTATCAGCCTGATCGACCCGACCCTATGCGTTTTGACTTTTTAAAATCTTGTACCCTTTCAAATTTAGGGTTCAGTGTTTAGGCTCCTTTTTAAGAAAAACTTGTTAAAGCACCCAAATGTTTAGAATTTTAGCTACATAAAACTTTTGATACATGTTGTTGAGAAAGAAAAAATGAGGAATAACTCTTGAAGATGAAAATTGGTTTGGAGGAGAACGTTGCATTCTTTGAGCAGATGATATGTTTATAGGATGCGGAGGCTGAAAGGCCATATGCAAACTTCCATGAAGACTTGAAGTTAAAAAAACAGTAGCCCGAAGCAATGGTAGATATAGGGTATGAAGTGAAAGTTACTTTGGATGGAGGTAATGCAGGTTTAAACTTATTGGTAATTTCCAACTCATCCAGACTTTTTAGGGTTCCTCTAACAAGACACTATGTATAACTTGTAGACAATCAATATATAGACAATACTAATAGTGTACAAGTTGTTTATTGATCGTGTTCTGACTGTGTATTTACTTTGATTTCATTGCTTATTCACTATGTATTTATTGAATATTTATTGCATTTTACTATTTATCTACGAGGATATTTACTATTTTTTTACTACATATTGACTACATATTTACTGTATATTTACTGCATATTTATTGCATATTATTATGAATATATGTAGTGATTTAATAGTTTATGTTATTAGACATGTGTTTTCACTCCATTGAATGTCCGTTCAGAATTTGAACATGTAAGGAACAATTATTTTGATCCATTTTATATAAATTTAATAAGAATTTACTATGTACTTACTATTTATTAATTGTGTATTGAATGTGTTTACTGTGTATTGACTAAATATTTGCTTCGTACTAACTACGTATTTGTTGTGTATTCACTACATATTTATTACATATTTGTTGTGTATTTAATGTGTATTTATTTCATATTTAGTGCGTATTTGCTACATATTAATAATGCTTTTACTGCATATTGACCAGGTTTTTATAAGGATGAGCAAGAGGCGTATAAGGTTTGTTGCAGTTATGCCTATAGTATTGGTTAGTGTTCACAAGGACAATCACGGTTACTGGCTACATTCCAAAAAGATAAAATGCAAGGACTTTGTCTATTCAATACTTTGCTTCAAGAAGGGATTTGATCTGAATTCTCAAATGAAATATCATAAATCTGAGACCATAACGAGTTGTCTAGCTATGATTAAGTTTACAGTATAATAAGCTGGAAATTGAAAGGTGAAAAATTTATTGAAAGCCATATTCATGATGAATTGGCTAGGCCAGCAAATCGACATCTACTGAGATCATGTATGAATATTAGTGATGATGAAAATTCAGTTCTTAAATCAATAACAGAAGTTGGGATAAGAATCGTTAATGCATTTTCCTACCTTATAGATAAAGTTGGAGGTATCGAGAATATTGAATTCTCTAAGAGGGATGCATACCACTTCATTCGGAAAGAAAAAAAAGATTAAAATTGAATTTGGGGACATTAATTTTTTTATTCTATTATTTAAAGATCATCAAGTTGATGACAACATGTTTGCATGAGACATTCAAATTGATGAATTTGATGTATTATTAATTTTTTTGGGTTGATAGGATGAGTTGGATAGATTATGAGTACTTGGGAGTTGTGGTGATTTTTTATACTAGCTATAGGCTTAATAAATATAATTTAGTTTGTGTAACATTTTTTGGTATTAATAATCATTGATATAATATTTTATTAAGGATGACCGTTTTGATAAAGCAAATAATTGAATTATTTATGTGGTTGTTTAGAATATTTGTATGACTAATAGGTGATAAGTATCCACTAACAGTATTTACTGACCAGGATCAGACAATAATTAGGGCTATAGTAGTTGTATTAATTCACACTTGTCATAGATTATGTCAATGACACATCTCTAAAAAGTTTCCATCAAAAGTCTTATGCTTCAATAATAACAATAAAGTTAGAGGACTTTTCTATAGGTGTTTGAGAAAGTGTGTCTATATGGAGGAGTTTGAGAAAATATGGATTTGAAAAATCACATAAGGGAACCTCCACAACCATGGTTGGTTGGAGGATCTTTATAGAATAAGAAATAAGTGATCAATAACATTCAATAAGGATTATTTTAGCGTGATCATTATATCCACACAATATAATGAGTCTATTAATAATGAGTGTCACGATAATTTGAATCTAACATGTTCTATAACTAATTATTTTTTGGGCTTAGAGAAGATGATGATGACTTGGCATCATAATGAACATGATGAGGATTACAAATACAACTAGTCCAAAATAGTACATGTAAAAAAAGCATTATACTATCAAAGCAAGCTGTTCAATTTTACTCAAAAAAATTATAATAATTTTTTGAAGAAGAATTTTTATATGGTGTGGGTGAAATGAGTATAAACTTTTTCTTAAGTAATTCTTCAATATTTTTTTGTGAAGTGCACAAAGAATAAGGATCAATCTA